ACACCAGCTAAAATACTAGCAGCTATGATTTCACATTGTTGTGTATAAAACACTTTCCATTTCAGAGTTTTGCTGTCGAAAAGGAGGAAGATTGTAAGCCACTATTATCAAAATCAATGACATTTTTTGTACCATTTTGCTCAAGCCAACAACAGGGATCCTTGCTACAAGACGCTTACAACTTAAAATTGAGAGCCACGAGGAAAGGGCAACAACAGATCAAAAAGGAACAAAAGACAAGAAATGTGAGCAAGTGCAATTATGCACCAACTTCATTCCAGTTTGGGAAAACTGGATGAGCTTCTTTGGAATATCCACAAGACTTTCTGGAAGCTTGGTACTGATGCAAAGTGGTTAAGGCTTGGGCAGACTAAGTCCTTTGTGGTTCTGAAGGTTGAGTGCAGACTTCTCTTGATGTAAAATCTACTTTAGGAGTTACTCTATGGCTGAATTCACACAACACCTTGCCAGATGTTCACCTTCAAGCCAGGTTAACAAGACACGTGCCAGGTTAAAGCTAAACAAATAAAACACATTTTGGCTTAACTTAGTGGTTTCTTTCACATAACACATTCAGACAACAGCCGAGTCCCCCAAATTAGCAAAATCCATTTCAGCCTAATCAAATTCACTCTATTAATTGATCCCCACATGTCTCATTCCATTGCCTGCCCCGGGGAATACTAGAACAGGAAATTGTCCTGGGAAATGATTTTTGTGTAGCTTTTCACCCTTGGGAGCTCACGCAAAGATTTCATCCCCAGCATTTGAGAACTAACCTTTGTACATGGTGTGATTTACAGCTGAAAAGTCAAAGAAAAATCAGTATAACTGAGATTTAGTTGTACTTAACAAAGTTGGAAATGTTTACTCTTCTCCCCCACCCCAAAAAAAGCAAGTGGGCGATCTTAAATGCCTGGCACCAGTTCTATCCAAAAAAATGTCATTTTATCATTGCCCTGTCGATGGTAGCCCTGAGCCACTGGTGAGAAGCAAAAAGTTGCAACTCTCAGATAAGGCATTAAAATCTGAATTATTGAGTCTGGTTTCCCCAAGTCAGTGGCTTTTCAAAATTAGCTTTTCCTTTTCCATCTGCTTCTATCCTCTTTACAACCTCCTGTCTCTCTTCTTTGCATATAATTAACAGTGACTCCCAATTTAATTAACAGCTTCCAGGGAGCCCCAGCCAAGCCCACATCCAAAGTACCATCAGACCACAGACTCTGGTCTGCTCTCCATTTATCTTCCCCCTCGTCAACAGTTACCAGCAGGAGTAAGTTTCTGAATGGGAAGCAGGACAAGCTAATGTCACAGACGCCCAATGAATGAAGGCTATGGTGGATAGGTTGGGCTAGCCCACCAACGAGGGACCCTTCCCCAGATCTGAGAAAGGGACAACCAGAAGAAATAGCTGGGGCTTAAAACTCTTCACATGACCAAGAGGTTTTCAAAAGTAGACTGAACCACCATTTGACCGAGATTAAGATTCCTTTTTTAACATCCCTTTTTATTTCTCATACTAACCCTGTTTTCTCTCTCACAAGCAAACCATAGTAGTTGACTAGAGGAACGGAAACTCCGGTCTCACCAGAAACAGGAACAGATTTCTTCCAGAAGTTTCTGGAAATGAAGCCAAAGGCTACAGGCCCCTCTTTGGCCACAGGTTGACCACCCCTGGTCGAGGGTATAGAGCAGGGGTAGGCAACCTTGGCTCTTTTGTGACTTGTGGACTTCAACTCCCAGAATTCCTGAGCCAGCTTGGCTCAGCTTGGAAACCTCTCCCTGTCCCCTCAGCATGGCTGGCTCAGGAATTCTGGGAGTTGAAGTCCACAAGTCACAAAAGAGCTAAGGTTGCCTACCCCTACCCTATATCAGGGGTCCTCAACCTTGGCAACTTTAAGACTTGTGGACTTCAACTCCCAGAATTCCTGAGTCAGCTTGGCTCAGCTTGGAAACCTCTCCCTTTCCCCTCAGCATGGCTGGCTCAGGAATTCTGGGAGTTGAAGTCCACCAGTCATGAAAGAGCCAAGATTGCCTACCCCTGGTATAGAGGGCAGCAGAAATTCTGCGTTCCTCTGACCAAGGGTTGGAAACAAGCAGCAAATGCAACGCCATACACCCATATTGTGCTGGAACACGCCTGTTAATGTAAATTAAGAGCTTGGCAGAGGTATGTTTTTGGCTTTCTGTTCTCAAAATCTGACAATTGGCCAGGAGGATAACATTCTGGTTGAACCAGTACGCAGGTTGGGTAGAAACACCAGGCACGTCCTAATCGTAGCTTCCCTCTCCTTCTCCTCCTCCTGGTGCCAAGAAAATGACAGAATCATGCGTCTCACAAAGAGACTGAAAAATGGAACCACACAACCATCCAGTGATCCTCTCTGTTATGGTTCTGTTCCTCCTTTTCTCAGTAAATATGAAGGATCTCTAAGGAAGCTTCTACTTGAGGCCCAAAGATCTGGAACTACTGTGTAATCTCCCCTGACACCTGGAAATCTTCGTGCTACTTCAAAAGCCTTAGCAGGGCTGCAGGCACTCTGCAAACCTAATTCCACCCTGAAGGATCATCTTGGTTTCCAGGCATGCCTCTGGATCTTGCCTGGGATGAAGGCATTATTTAAAAAGAAGCCTAACGAGATTCAGCCGTTGAAAAAGGGTTTGGTTATAACGATGCTCATCCAGCCAGGGGAAGGGAAAAAAAAAAAAAAGACCAAAAGCACGTTGGGATGGGAAAAGCTATCAGGAACTCCGCCATTTTGTTTTCGTAGTAGAAATGTTTTGTGACTGGCCACGTCCACCGTGGCAGCCGTAACATGCTTTTAGAACACAGAACATAAAATCATAAGGCTGGAAGGGAACTCAGGGGTCTTCTAGTCCAGGGGTCCTCAACCTTGGCAACTTTAAGACTTGTGGACAACTCCAAGAATTCCTCAGCCAGCAAAGCTCTTCTCTGCACTCTTTGTAAGATCTCAACATCTTTTTTTTTTGGGTATCACGATGACCAGAACTGGATGTATTATTCCACGTATGACCTAACTAGGGCAGTATAAAGCATTACTATCACTTCTGGTGATCTCTTCCATGGATGCAGCCGAGGACTGCGTTGGCTTTTTGGCAGCTGAACTCTGAAGAGATTAGAGAAGACTCCTGACCAAACAAACCATGGCCAACGGATCAATTAAGGCTCCACCCAAGCCTAGATCGAATGATTAGAAGGACAAATTTCCAAGTTAAAAAAAGGAAAGCATGATAGTTAAGATCTGAACCCTTGAGAGATGCTATCTTTCCTGTGTTTTTCAAAGAATTCAAGTAGCCTTTGACTTGCCACTACAACTGAGCCCCAAATTTTTGTTGCTAAAACACTTGTGAAGTGAGTTTTGCCCCATTTTACGACCTTTCCTGACACGCTTGTTAAGTAAATCACGGCAGTTGTTAAATTAATAACACGGTTCCGAAGTGCATCTGGTTTCCCCTTTGACTTTGCTTGGCGAAAGGTGATCACGTGACCCCGGGGGGGGGGGACGCTGCAACCGTCATAAATGTGAGTCAGTTGGCAAGTGTCTGAATTTTGATCACGTGACCAGGGGGGTGGTGTCACGGTCGTTAAGCGTGAAAATCGGTCGTAAGTCCCTTTTTTCAGTGCTGTTGTTAAGCCGAGGACTACCTGTATCAGCATCCTGGCTTATCTGATCCTGATACTACCTGTATCAGATCCAAGCTGAGGTTGCTAGAGGTTCAATGGCTTCCCTTGAGTTTGCTACCTGGTGCTAGCTGTTTCCTTTACCAAGCTCTGTGGTGATTCTCCTCCTATTCTTCTTGCTCTATTTTGCCTCAGTGGCCTGGGTGCTCTGCTCATTCGCCTCTTGGGTTCCTCTTTAAAAACGCTGAGCATTCTTAAAGTAAACTTCCAAGAGCAATAATGTACCAGTAGCAGCACCGAGTTGATAACACGACAGTGTACCAGCAATTCTAGCTCTGTCTTCTCTGAAAACTGATGCAAGCTAGGAATGAGGGAGAAATTAAGGTCAGAGAACCACAGGGGAAAAATTAAACTGTTAACCCAAAGCAGCAGAATTGCTTGTCTTGCTGTTCTTATTGATGGGTGGAGCTTCATACCAACTCTCTGATTAATTCAAACTTCAAAAGCTTGAATGGGATGCCTCAAAGCTTGAATATCGTGCTTATGTAAGGTCTAAAAATGCAGGATTCTATTTCTATCGCACCTTTGGTGTTATCACCACCGTAACTTTAAAGACAGTCCTTCATGTTTTGGAAAGGCGCATCCATTTGTGCTGAAGTGCCAATGCATAATTTAAAATAACAAAGGAATTGAGAGAGTGATTACAAAAGCTCACATCGTTTTCTTCAGGCTGATAAATATTAATTTTAGGAACTCATTTATCCATCTTAAGAGTCAGCAGAACTGTGTGCTTTTCCATCAGATCCATGGAAACCTCCACAGGAGTCCCAATAAGATGCCATCAGAGCAGGTCCTACCCACCTATCCACCCATTCACAGGTCTGCCACCTGCATGATATGTTCACCACTGGGTAGTCCTGTGTAAGGATGATGTTCAATTAGATGTCTTCTCCACATATGAGATGAAGGGAATGAAAATGAGAACTGTCCAAATAAAATTAGATGTAGGAGATGACTAGGCTGAACCTGAGGCAAACTCACCCTCAATCTCAAGTCCCTTCACGCCCACCAGAGATCTAAGTCCAGCCCACCTTGAATTCGATTGACTCTTATCTACCACCAATTTGTTTTGACCGTTAGTAATTCAGATTCTTGTAGAGAGTACTAGCATACCACACACTTATATTCACTGAATTGCCTAGACTCCTGATTTCCTGAGCTTGACACCAAGGATGGAACCGAAGAACGTGTAGGATCCTACTGTAGATGCCATTTTAAGGGGCCACCAACTTGTCATGTCTCTTTTTATCAATGCCATATGCAACCAATGCTCCCTCTGGGAAGACACAAGACTCACCGTGGTAGGGCACAGTTTTCCTGGGCACCAGGTTCCACCAGTTGCTGACCGCAGAGGCCTCTGTGCTAAGAACCAGCGAGGTTAAGAGACACACGCTAAGAGGCAGCTGAGGAACCATTCTGCTGGAGAAGGAAGAGTCCCACCGTAGGCCGAGAAGAACCATCCACGCCAAAGCACTGCTGCTCCTGCTGCTCCTGCTGTTAACAATCCCGGTTCCTTTCTTCCTCGGTGAGTTGGCCTGGCAAAGGGGAGAGGCGAGCGGTTAGATGGCTAAGGCTACAATGGCATCAGCCACATGCCCAGAGTCCCAGTGGGAAGGACCAGGAAGGGTGGTGAAAGGGAAGGGGGCCCGCGCAAGAAAGGAAGCCGCGAGGGAGTTTCCATTCGGGTACCAGTCTTCTCAGAGGCTCAAGGGCCCTGGTGATTCAGCCAATGAGCAACAGGAAGTGGAAATTTGAGAATCCCTGTTCTTCCCCCCCCTCCCTCTAGCCCCACCACTCCTTGCTGTCCCACACGGTCCTGTTTCCCAGATTTCACAATCTGGAGTTCCTGTGTATCTCTATTAAGGGAAAGGCTTTTTACGTTTCCCGGAGAGGCTGACCTGGATGGAAGAGTCACTGAAATGCAAGCAGTGCATTAAACAAAAGAAACAAAAGGCGCTTCTAATCTCATCATTAAATTTACAACAAGGAGAATTTCCTACACACACACACACACACACACACACACACACACACGGTTTTTGTGAGGTCGGAAGGAAATGAGGGCTTCAAAGGTGGGCAATTCCGAGGGCACAAAAAGGGAAGGAGGGAAATTGCTTTCGTTGCAGGTAGCAGATTCCCCCCAACCAATCTGTTGCAGTCTATTATCTCTTAAAATTTACAACCAGGAGCAAAAGGCAGCCAAATGAAGCCTCCCGGGTCTCCCATATCACCACACAGCGATCCTGTGAGGTAGGCTAATGAAGAAGACAATCACTCATCCCAGGATTCCAAATAAGTTTCAATGGCTGAATATGGACCAAGTCTCCCCAGTTGTATCCCCAAATATTAGTCACTTGTTCCCTCCAGTGATGGAGCGCCCACGATTTCTGGGGGCAAGTTGTTCCACTGGTTAATTGTCCTCACTGTTAGGAAGTTTGTCCTTAATTCCAGGTTGCTTCTCTCTTTGATAAGCTTCCATACATTATTTCTTCTTTCCTCAGGTGCTTTTGGAGACTAGGCCGACCCCCTCTTTTCTGTGACAGCCCCTCAAATATTGGAAGACTGCTGTCACGTCACCTCTAGTCGTTCTCTTCGTTAAACTAGACATATCTAGTTCTCTCAACCATTCATCGTAGGGTTTCGCCTCCAGACCCCTTATCATTCAGGGTTAGAAATAAGTTCACCTGGTTTATTTCAACCATCCAAAACCCACTGTGTGTGAACTCATGCCTAGTGATTCATCGGGTTGAAGTCAAGCTACCTTTTCTTAGAAAGAGTTGAAAGTCAATAGCCAGCAACACTAATCAGAACAGAAAATAGCATCTTCTACTAAGAAATTCCTTGCGAATGAGTACCAAAAACGCAACGTGTTCCGTCCAGAAACAAACTGCCTAATCTCAGCATCACTAGCTCAGCTTCTCCCAAACTCATATTCTCTCTCCAAAGCCCCTGGATTATAAAGCTCACAATTCTCATATTTCTCTTCCGAGAAGTTTGAGCATCATTAAGATTATAAAAAGATAGACCAACCAATGTGACCGTAATAATTTATCTGCCTGTGGATATCAGCACAGGATTGCAAAAGCTATCTCTACAGTTTCCCAACCAGATTTTAGTAATTCAGGATAAGCATCAAACACGCCAGATATGGAGTCATTGATATGCATGCATGCATGCGCCCCTTTTAAAATATGGCTGGTATGATGCTCAAGAATTGCAAGTGGCTGGGAGTGTTTCTTAAAGGAAGAGAGGAAAAAATGCTTTATTTCAAACTCAAAAAACAACCTGCTATATACTGGAGGCTCCGGTTCAGCACAAGTACCAGTAGTATTTAATTTACGACCAAACATTTTTGTCGTTAAGTGAGACAGTTGTTAAGTGAGTTTTGCCCCATTCTACGACCTTTCCTGCCACAGTTGTTAAGTGAATCGCTGCAGTTCTTAAGTTAGTGAATCTGGTTTCCCCATTGACTTCGCTTGTCAGAAGGTCGCAAAAGTGGATCGCGTGACCGTGTGATACTGCGACCGTCACAAATAAGAGACAGTTGCTAATTAGCTGAATTTTGATCGGATAACCATGGGGACGGCTGCAATGGCTGTAAATGTGAAAAAAAAATTCAGTTTCATTGTAACTTTGGTCATTAAATGAATGCTTATAAGTTGAGGCCTATCTGTAAAATTATTTCAGAGTTTGGTATGAACCAAAATTCACTGGCTGACTCCCCCCCCCAATTTTCCCAGGCCGGTCCCTCTCTCTCAGCCCAACCCACCTCACACGGTTGTTGTTATTATGGGGAAAATAAGAGGAGGAAGGAGTATTATGTATGTTTGCCGCCTTGGGTTATTTATATAAAAAAATAAAGACAGGCTATGCATAACTCAGGGGTAGGCAACCTTGGTCCCTTCATGACTTGCGGACTTCAACTCCCAGAATTCCTGAGCCGGCATGGCTCAGCTTGGAAGCCTCTCCCTTTCCCCTCAGCATGGCTGGCTCAGGAATTCTGGGAGTTGAAGTCCACCGGTCATAAAAGAGCCAAGGTTGCCTACCCCTGGTCTAGGAGGCTCACCGCTTAGAACAGGAGGACTTAGGCCAGGGGTAGTCAACCTTGGCTCTTTTATAACTCGTGGACTTCAACTCCCAGAATTCCTGAGCCAGCATGGCTCAGCTTGGAAGCCTCTCCCTTTCCCCTCAGCATGGCTGGCTCAGGAATTCTGGGAGTTGAAGTCCACCAGTCATAAAAGAGCCCTGGCATAACTAAATAACCAATAACTAACTAACCACTGGGGCCTTAACTGGCCCCACAATATCCTTGCCGTTTTCCCTGTCCTGCCTCCCATCACTTCTGGCTGGGGCACTCCCCGCACAGCCTCAGGTACCCCAACCCTTGTGTCAGAAATGCAGGAACTAGAAAAGGGGGAAATGTTAATTTAATATTTAAAACATTTAAAAGCTTTAATCACAGTAGCCATTGTTCCACCCTGCCCGTGGAGACCGCTTCTGTGCATGGAGAGTGTTTTATCCTTCTCCACTCTTTCTGCCCGAGGCTTTTTCACCAGGCTGCTTAAATTTTTAAAAACGTTTAACTTAAAAATAAGTGCATCAAAAAACTGGTACGTTAGCCCAGGCATCTCCAAAAACCCTGGACCGGGGAAATGTTTCTGGAACATGCCCCTTTTTGAAACATTCAACTTTCTGACGTGGCAACCAACTGCACTGCACAGCCCCACTCTGATCTTTCAAGGCAGCTCTGCCAGTTGGATTCTGCATTAGCTAGCAATGTTTCTCTCCAACTGGCAGAAAAAGCAAGCAGATTATTTATTGTTGTTGTTTTTGCACAGGATACACCTACTCCAGCTAGCTTGCCTTCTTTTTTTCCCCTCTTTTTTTCCCAGAACGGCTTTCTGTCAGAACACGCCGGAAATTCACTTATTTTCCTACAGGCCGCCACCTACAGCAGGAGAAGCAGATGGGCTACTTAAGCTGAATTGACCTGGTGTCATTTTTCAAGATGTGGTATTATTTACCCAGCTGATTGTTTGAAGCCCTGCAACTGACGTTGATGGAGGGCAAATGGCCCAGGAAGGAATGTGCAAAAACAGCAAATGGAGGAGGAGGAGTAGGAGGAGAGCTTTCCTACTAAGTCTCAGCTCTGGAATATTTTTGCAAAGGAAGCACAAAAATTAGAAGCGCTGAGCAGCTGGTCAGTCCTTCCCAGTCCCTTTTCCCTTATTTTCTCCGTGCAAAATCCTTCATTTCTGGGAACGTGCACAACGCTCTTTCCCCCCTCACCACTTACACGACGGCAGGCTTGGAAAGATTTGCAGAACCAAATCGAGTTCCTGTCTAAGCCAACAATGTTCATGTTTCTGAATTTTACTTCAGATAGACTGCCTCTAAGCTTGGAAGATCTACCCTCGCTAAATAGCTCTGGACGGACTAATCGGCCCATAGGATCCTGGCCTTCAAATCCTAGGCAGTTGAACCTGGGAGGAAAAACCTTTGCAACAGAACGAATTATTATCCCTTTCTAATCTCTTGCCAATTAAATTTCCCAATCTGTGACAGTTTGAAAATAATTGGGGGGCAAAGATGTCTGTGAAAAGCCAAGGAATCAAAAAGCAGAGCAGAAAAGAGAAAGGGAAGGAGGAACAGAACTTTTTCTGTTTTTCTTTCCCTGCTATGGGACACGCATTAACATTTCCAGGACCAGGACGTGTGGAAAAAACAACAACAACAGAAAGAGCATTGTTTCATTCCAGGATTTTGTAAATCCCGGAAGGTCTTTTTGGAAAAATCTGCAAATTTCTGTCTTCGGAATCTCTTGCCAACTCAAAAGGGCTGAGGTTTCCCATTGCTTGGAAAAAGTGCACTTGGTTTCAAGCTGGAGATGGACTTTTTTTTTGGGGGGGGGGGGGGCAAACTTTCCAAAACACTCATTGTCCCCTTGAAAGTTTTATAGCAGGAACTTTTCCAGGCTAAAGGCCACCCTCCCCAAAGGAGGCGGGTCTGTGACAAAAACACTGGGTGAGGCCAAAGCAAAAACAGCAGCGGAGATCTTCCTTAATTTAACTGATATACCTACTGGATTCCAATTCCAGCTCAATCCAGCGGATAGGACCCATTAATCTGCCCATAGCTTTTAATAATTTGCTCCTTCCAGGATATTTTTTCCCCTTTTCTTGATTCCCATTCAGGTTTGTGTTTATCTCTGTTTCTTTTGTGTTGTTTTTATGTTTTTTTGCATTGTTATTTTTTTTAAATGTTTGTAACAATTGAGAAACCATACAGAATCCCTCCTCCTCCTCCTCCTTGCCACCCCTTGAAAACTTCTGGAGAGTTTGTGATTCACATCCAAGCACTGGCTTTCCTAGAATGGAAGAAGCACAGGTGATTCTTGGCTTACAACAGTTCATTT